ATGTATAACTACCAGTTTGGCCACCAATTTTGATTTTATTCCTTTTTGTCTCATGCTGAATCTTTTTTTTTTTTGGCTGCACCTCTTTTTCACATCTAAGGTGTTTTTGATTAGATTGACTCTGACAAAACTTGGACTCGGGTATGAAAATTGTTGGCATTCAATTTTGGATAGTCCAAGCCAGGTGGACTCTGGCCCAATCTTGACAGCTTTTCTCTTATGCTGGGTTTGTGGATTACTAAGTACAACATTTCACGGCTATAGATCCAGTCTCCATGAGTCTTTTAAGGACAGTTTGGATCAATACATGAATATCAGATGCCTTTTTAGTCTCACAACACAGCTTCTGGAATGGGTCTTGACAAGCACTTTGGTCTTAGGTTTGTTGTTCCATACCACCTTTTCACAGTTCCAGTGGCACTTTGAAACATGAGGACACATTACAAATCCTTAGAAATTGAACCAAAAATGTATTAAAAGGTGTTTAAACACAAAACAAACACTAAAAATAACCCAATTACATCCAGCCCATTTACCAAAAATCCCCTTTAATTCACATGAATGATAATAAGTGATAAATGACTAGGTGTGAAGATTGCTTGAAACTAAAGCCCACAGGTTTGGAATACGTTTGTCAGGTATTTCTTAGAACTGAGAAACATTGATCCCTAGTACTAAGTAAATATAAATTAGTTTCTGTCCAACCCACAAGATCTCACTGGATTCTGTCCTCTTGTAATGTCATAGAGGAATTGGTGTAATATGAATACATTTTTATAACTTTATAGGATCTTAACTATACGTAATTTATTTTCATAGAAATTAAAATTGCTTTAGTACATAATTTGTAAATATTCTTGTCATATTTTTAGAAAGCTTGTGATTTAGAAAATATCAGCATTTTATTGTAATCATTAATCTCTGCAACTTGAGCTAGTCTGCAGCAGGAAATATTCTATTTGTATTGAAATCCTTATTTTATTACTGACTTTGAAATGACAGTTTGTATTTTTATGTATGTAGGCTTCTGGAGGAATCAAATACTTACCTTATCCTTTCCACTGAAGTTGAACATTCAAAAACAGATCAAACTATGTGCAATCTGTAATTATAGTTCCATAAATGTTGATTGATAAATGTATTCATTATGAAGGTTGAATAAGGATGCACTGCATTATTAAATTTTGTATAAGATTTAATAATATATACAAGTAAACAATGTGCTGAGTTTTTATAAATATATCGAAGCACACTGTATGTAAATTCATATGACTGGTTTCATACTGTGAGAAATTCACCTACTTTTAAAGTAAAAATTATTGAATGCCTAGAAACTGTTCTTGATTTAAAAGTCCACATTCTGTTTGAAGAGTAGTTATTAACTGGTCAAGGAAAGAGTAGTTACTTTATAAAATAGTAGTTCTTATTTTTAAAAATTGATCAAATGAATAGTAGATCTTACTTAAAAAAATTGATTAAATAAATTTACAAAAATACTGTGTATCTGTACACACATGCATGCACACACACACACATAAATATATAATTTTTTTTTCTACAAAATATATATAAAAAAATTCGACTATACAATACTTGAGATTTAAAAATAATATTTTATAAACTACAAACATATACATTAGTCAATTGTTTATTGTTTTTTATGCAGTATGTGAATGTTATTTCTAGCATATATTTGCCTGTTATGGATATCCAATTGGTAATTAACTTAGAATATTTACCTAAGATTTGTTGATAACTTGCCATTTGAAGTGTCATAAAAAAAAGTCAAGGATTGTACCACCTTATAATTGCTATAAGTATGAAAGAAACATACATAAAAGATAGTTATACAGCATTATGTATTTTGGAATTACCTCGAGTTATCGACTTGTGAGCTCCACTCACAACTGCAATCCTCAATTAAAAAAATTGGGTGTAATTCGCAGTACAGTCGAAGTTCTAACAACTAGCCCTAAGGGCACTGTCTGTTACACATACTACTACACTATTATTTGGACAAAAGTTTAATATCTGCAAGACTGGACATACAAGGCCTAATCAGCACCATGAAATAATTATTAACTTTTACTACACACCTACAGTCACAGCTTGTTAAGTTTGATCTTTTTTGCTTGTGTCTAAAGGGAAATAAGCTTGAGAAGAACAGAATAAACTGATGTTGAATGTGAAAGACTAAAAAGATAATTATATTAATGTCATTTTTTTGGCTTTATTCCATAAATATCAACTTTAACAACTCTAAAATAAATATCTCGCAACAATATTTATTAGAAGACATACCAAAACCAATAAACAACAGTTCTTCTTATGCTGTCTAATAAGCTGCCATGTCTCTATTAAGCTACTTTTCTTCTATGTGATTCTTATTTTGTTTGAGCCAGTTTGAAATAGAAAAACAATCATTATGCTTTTAATGGTCAATCCCATCCAATATTCCCCTATCTGTACTTATCATCAAATGATTACAGAGAGACAGAGAGAGAATTTTAATTACCAAATATTTCAGAAATACAAAATTACATATAGTTAGACTGACATTGAACAAAATACATCACCATTTATTAGGTCTTTTACACTTTACTATCAACAGTCAACATGTACTAAACTGTTAGTTTCTTAACAATTCTAACTTTCAGTTAACACTATTAACCAATATATATAAAATATTTCTCTGTTATAAGCATTACCCTCCTTTGTTAAACTACATTAATTGAATGAGAGAGAGAGTAATTCTATACTTACAACAAGGTCGGACTGATATATCTCTGGAGGTTGGGAATCTTTATATTCATGTTGACTTGGAAACTTAATTTTATCCTGGAGAGAACTTCTTGATTTTTAGCTCCAGACATGAATTTTTATACTGTATTTTCTTTGTATCTTTTCGATTTTCCAAATAGTATTCCTGACTACCTGCAAGTAGTCCTGACACTTTTTTGGCTAATTTCTGCAACTCAAAGGACATTTCCAAAACAAGAACCAAAACTCTCAAGTAATTGGTTGCAGTGATGGTGAGTGCTACAATTGCCTTTTCACTTATACTACTACACTAGTCTGGAGTAACAGATCTCGCATCAAAGCACCAATTTTGAGATGCTATCATAAACTTTTTAGTAGCCTCTACTGTGCTAATAACTCAGCATCAGTAACTTATCACTGTCAAACTCGTGACTAGCATTTTTTCTCAGCATCCTCGCTGTAGCTTCATTGTCAGTACTAACTAGCCAGCTAACTGTGCTTCGCCTAGATCTTGACCCAATTTTGTAATACAGGCATCCTTTACTTAGGCCATTTCTTCACATATATGCACCACACTCAAACTTAAATTTCTTTAGTTTCTTTCTTAAACATAAAAGACAGATGCAATTGTAAAATTCTCTTAACAGTCAAGATTTGCAAGTACGGGAAATGTTGCAGAATATATCTAATAAATTATTAAAAAACTAAACATATTTGTAGTTGAAAGTTCATTACAATTGAGAACATATATAAAAGTGAATAAATAATGTTAATACTGCTGCTTTTACACTCAACTGTTAGGCCTATCTTTTGATGACTATTGTTTCACAATCTTTTTCACTTCTGCATGATTTTTATAATAGATATTAGACCTATAGGAATAGATTCCAATGCTGTGTTAGCTTTTGGCATTGAAACTATTACTTTGAATTCTTAAGCTACATATCTTGGTAGCATTTCAGGTGAAATTTTTTCTCTCAGTGTGCAGCTTAGTTGTCTAATTCTAGTATTAAATGTAGGACCTTCTTCTGACAGTGACTTCTGAGAAACAGAAGTGCTTGAAATGCTACTTTTACTTATGGGTGTATTTCTTTTTGTTTCTTCTTACAAAAAGGGAAAATGAAGCTAATTATATCAGTCTTTTACAAAATAACCATTATATGGGGGTTAAACGATACACTACCAGCAGGCACTAATAGGGCAGAATAAGGGATTAAGCAATATACCATCAGCAGGCGCTAATAGAGCAAAATAAATTGTTAAACAATATACTATTAATAGGGTAGAATAAGGGGATAAAAAACACTATCAGCAGGCATTAGTAGGGCTGAATAAACAGCAACAGGACTTCATGACCAGTTCCGACTCATAGATCAAGACACAGTCTTCCTCGAATGTTGGAATGAATGTGCCTTGAAAATATCAAAAACTGCCTTCAAAAAGCACCTTGCCTTTGTAGTTGACCAATCAAAAAAATAGGTCACCATGCAACTATTCTTATCAGAGGGTGAATCAATAAGTGTATAATTATTAAAAACTTCTAACCAAAAGTAAAATAAGTAAATGATCAAAACTAAATGTTTAAAAGTAAAACATAAGTTAATAAAAAGAATCTAATACAACTACACTTAGACTCCAGGAAGTTAAAATATATAATGATCAGAATGCAACAATGTATTTTTGCTGTTAATGATATATCTCACCGAGTTCAGCCAATGCATGGAACTTAGGATCATATATATATATATATATACTAACCAAATATAGTAAAATAATTATGAGTGTAAAGTTGATTTAAAAACATTATAATCAAAACGATTTTATGAACTAACTACAAACAAGGATTAGATTATTTTTTACTCATAACTTGATACTGAGCACTCAGGTTAATATGTCTTGGAGTAAGGTGCATCATAACTTGATACTGAGAACTCAGGTTAGTGTATCTTCAGTAAGGCATGTCATAACTTGATACTGAGGACTCAGGTTAGTGTGTCTTAAGTAAGGTGCATCATAACTTGATACTGAGGACTCAGGTTAGTGTATCTTCAGTAAGGCATGTCATAATTTGATACGGAGGACTCAGGTTAGTGTATCTTCAGTAAGATACGTCATAACTTGATATCAAGAACACATGGTAGTGTATCTTCATATTGAGAACATAAAGATTACGCAACACGACACCTGTCCTTACACTTACTAGATCCACAAACCTCTCAATGTTGCAATGATGAGGCAAATGTCCACTTAGTTTATTCTTGGAATTCCTCGTATTAATATCGTTTTAAATTGGTAAGCTTTATGGATTTTTGCACCTTACTCAAGACACACTAACCTGAGTCCTCAGTATCAAGTTATGACATGCCTTACTGAAGATGCACTAACCTGAGTTCTCAATATCAAGTTATGAGATATATTACCATGTATTTTCGATATGAGGATGTAGCTGTGCTTTTAACATAACACATACTGAATATTGTACAGTAAAACGATGTGTTAATGAAGCACAAAGTATTCTGAACATTTTATAGGATGTAACTGTGTTTAATACAAGGTATACCAAACATCTTGTTGCATGTAGATGTGCTTTTTAAGATAACATATACTAAATATTTTACAGTTAGTAGATATGTTAATGAAGCACAAGGTATACTGAACATCTTATGTTAAAAAGCAAATGTACATTCTATAACACATCCTGAATATTTTATACTAAGTAGATGTGTTAATGGAACACTGGTATACTGAACATTTTACAGAAAGTATATGTTTAAACAAGTTATGCTGACTATCTTAAGAAAGTAGATGTATTAGTTTGGTATAAAAATGGATTTTACAGGAAGTATTTATTTTGTTCTATTACTTGTGAATAAATTATGACACAGAGTTCTAAGAATGAGAAACCAATTTCACTTTATTGACAAGACTAATTATAGGCTTGTTCTAGAACGAGAGAATGATAGGTTATATACAAGAAGATGTTAACTCTGGGTATGAAAACTGAAACTTGACAAAATGTTGGCGTACATGTGACTTCAGATAAATAACCCTGATATATACACACACACATAATAAAAGACATCTGGCTAGGAGGACATGGTAAGAAATCTGGAAGGAAAAAGAAAAAGTCTATTTACTATACACAAATGTATTTAATCACATCTTAATAACAAATGTCTATGTACTATATACAAATGTATTTAATTGCATCTTAATAAGAAATGTCTATAATCGCATCTTAACAAGAAAAGTATGTAGTATATACAAATGTATTTAATCGCATCTTAATAAGAAATGTCTATGTACTATATACAAATGTATTTAATCGCATCTTAATAAGAAAAGTCTATGTACTATATACAAATGTATTTAATCGCATCTTAACAAGAAAAGTCTATGTACTATATACAAATGTATTTAATCGCATCTTAATAAGAAATGTCTATGTACTATATACAAATGTATTTAATCGCATCTTAATAAGAAAAGTCTATGTACTATATACAAATGTATTTAATCGCATCTTAATAACAAATGTCTATGTACTATATACAAATGTATTTAATCGCATCTTAATAAGAAATGCACAATTTATTCTTCAATCCTTATAAAGAACAAAGTGACATACACTACCACTTCCTTGTTTTCAAATGTTTTGCTTCTACGTGTTTAGTGAAGCATTACACACTGTTAATTTGTTGTATATATAATTGTACAGAAAATATTTTCTTCCTATTACTTCCACAACT